AGACCCAACACGACCAGACTCACTAATCACCGTACCGTACATCAGGGACATATCAGAGGTGACCACAAGACTACTCAGACCCCTAGGTACCAGGGTAGCCCATAAATCAACAATCACCCTACAACAGCAAATGACGAACGTAAATGATCCCATAGCCATAACCAATAAAACTAATGTAATATATAAAATACCAGGCAAGGACTGTGAGAAACATTACATAGGTCAAACTGGAAGAAAACTGACAATAAGGACACACAAACACCAACTAGCCACCAAGAGACACAACCAATTCTCACTGGTCTCAATACATGGACAAAGAAGGACACAAATTTGACTGGGACAACACATTCATAATAGCACAAGCCAAACAGAGACATGTCAGGGAATTCCTGGAGGCCTGGCATTCCAACCGGAACTCCATCAACAAACACATTGAACTGGACCTGATATACAAACCACTGAGAAACAGAACCGGAAGTAATGCCAACCACCCCAGCAAACCAAGGCATATAAATAACAAGCAGGACAGAACACCGATGCTTCACTGGAGGCACACTGATGATGTTACCTAGCACGGTGATGAAACGTCTGCAACCAAATCCACCAGCTCAATGAGCAAGTCTACAACCTCAGATAACAAGGTGTAGAGCTGCATGAACACAGCAGGCCAAGTAGCATCAGAGGAGCAGGAAAGCTGATGTTTCGGGCCTAGAGAAGGGTGTAGGCCCGAAACGTCAGCCTTCCTGCTCCTCTGATGCTGCTTGGCCTGCTGTGTTCATCCAGTTCTACACCTTGTTATCTCAGATTCCCCAGCATCTGCAATTCCTACTATCTCTCTACAACCTCATCTGGGTCCCACCTGCCATGGAAGTGTGTTATGACGCGTCTGAACAGGTTGACTAAAAAGACTTGCACAAATGTAATGAGTTCTAATTTGGCCATTGATTTTACCATTCTTTTACCAGGTCTTTCTCATCAACAGTGTTTACTCTTACTGCTGAAGTGCTAAATTCTCAATTCTTCATTCATAACATTCCAAATCCAGCAGCCCATTATTACATCCAGGAATGCATTCGATAGAGAGTGGACTCCTGTGGAATACACCAGATAGTTCTTTCATATTTCTTTACTACTTCTGTAGCAACAAAACAAAAACTAATAAATAATGTAACAATTTTTGTACTAAACTCAATACACTCAGGTAGGAAAGGAAAAATTAAAAAGAGACAGTAAAAGAATTAATTATTGGTATGGAATCAAATAGAGAGCTGATTATTCCATAGGGTATTCCCAAGATTATTCCAACTACACATCTCACTGCCTCAGGAAAGCAACCAACATAATCAAAGACAGCTCCCACCCCAGTTATACTCTCTTCCACCCTCTTCTGTTGGGCAGAAGATATAAAAATTTGAATACTCATCCGAACAGATTCAAGAACAGCTTATTTCCCACTGCTATCAGACTTTTGAATGGACCTCTCAAAAGTTAATTCTGATTTCTCTCTCTGCACCTTCTCTATAGCAGTAACACTATATTCTGCACTCTGTTCTGCTACCCTGATGCACTTTGTATGGCATGCTCTGCCTGCACAGCACGCAAAACAACACTTTTCACTGTATCTCGGTTATGTAACAACAATAAATCAAATCAAAAAGCACAAACTCAATTGTATTTACTGTAGAATGTGATGGTAGAGATTGTGTTATTTATCATAGAATCCCTGCAGTGTGGAAACAGGCCCTTCAGCCCAACAAGTCCACACCAAACCTCAGAGCATCCCACCCAGACCCCTCCCCCTGTAACCCACCTAATCTACACATCCCTGAACACTATGGGCAATTTAGCATGGCCAATCCACCTAGCCTACACATCTTTGGACCGTGAGAGGAAACCAGAGCACTTGGGGAAAACCCATGCAGACATGAGGAGAACGTGCAAACTCCAAACAGACAGTCGCACGAGGGTGGAATCAAAACCCGGGTCCCTGGTGCTGTGAGGCAGCAGTGCTAACCACTGAGCCACCGTGCTGCCCCAACTGTATAACTGTTAGCCGGAACAGTCCCATTGCCTGCTTGTCTCTGCAATATTATTAATATTGCTACTGTCACCTGTATGTAAAATGTTAGCAAGAAAATATTTAGAAATTCATTTTTTGATAAAACCTCTTAATTAATGCACATCTCCAAATGAAGGCATTTGAATTATAATTTTCTTGTGGACAAATACTCTTGGCTTCACTATTTACTTGCACTTCAGGCACTACCTTTGTATGTCCTCTATTGTTTAAACTACCTCTAGGAGTTACTGATAAACCATTTACTTTATTCCTTTTCAATAAACTCTGCAAAGCTCAAATCAAGCCAAGCTTTAAATACACCTTCCTGTTCAGAATTCAAGACAGGAATTATCTTCGTAGTTGATCCCTGTCTCACTTTCGGCCTCCAAATATCTCTCCTAGTGCTGTAACATTCCCTTGGTTTGAAATGATATTTAATTATGGTCTTATGTGTGCTGAGATGATAGAACTCCCCTACTTTAGGTGACTGCGTGTTTAAGAGCAGCTCCAGCATTTTGATAAATGTTCCAGGCTGCTGTGTCAGTGCAATAATGAAAAGATCTGCATTTAATGTGTCATCCTTTAAATATTAAACTAAAGGCAATATCTGCCTCTTGAAATTGTGATTACCTGTGGTATTACGAAGAACTGCAGAAAGTTCTGTTTAGATCCACTTTCATTTAACATTACCAAAAATAGTGCTCCCAACCAGCTCATGAACAGCTAATGTGTCATAGAGTCATAGAGCTGTACAGCATGGCAAGAGACCCTCCAATCCAACTTGTCCATGCCAACCAGATATCCTAAATTAATCTAGTCCCATTTGCCAGCATTTGGCCCATTTCCCTCTAACCCCTTTCTATTCATATACCCGTCTATTTGTCTTTTAAATGTAATTCTACCAGCCTCCACCACTTCCTCTCACAGCTCATTCCATACACGCACTACCCTCTGTGTGAAAAAGTTGCCCCTTAGGTCCCTTTTAAATCATTCCCCTCTCACCTTAAATCTATGCCCTCTAGTTTTGGACTCCCCCACTCTGGGGAAAAGACCTTGTCTATTCACCTTATCCATGCCCCTCATGATTTTATAAACCTCTATAAGGTCACAAACGCTCCAGGGAAGATAGCCTCAGACTATTCAGCCTCGCCATATAGCTCCTACTTGGTATTCACACATATCACCTGCCTGAGAGATCTCCGTTAAGTGAGAGAATATAGGAAATAAAAGCTGCTTATTAATTAGCGAAAGCTGGTGTGAATTTCATTCGAACACTTTTTATGAGATAATTCCGAGCTGGAGACGGGAAAACAGCTGAAAGACTGACACGCTGTTCCCGGCAAAAACTTAAAATGTTCCCAGACTCCGTTACAAACATTGTCGACAATTCGAACAAAACGCGGTGAACAGATTGTTTAACAGACAATATTCGGGATCTCTGTGATCTGACTATCCCCAGAACAAGCTCAAAGATGTGGTGGGGGGCTCATTGACAACATTCACATGGGGCTATTCCAGTTGCTATTATATTCCGAGTGTCTAAGGTCTAACGTTTATGATATCATCAACATTCCTTCAAATAATAAAGATTTAAAATCAGTTTTCGATATTTGACAATAACATGCAGTTAAAGTGAACAGAAGGCGACTAAGAAACTCAGAAGGATTTGAGAAATTCTTCGTTCGAGTTCTGAATTTGAACGGGACAAGAAAACGTTGTTAATTGGTAGGAATTTTGAAAATAGATGTTTTTTTTTCTCCGGCACATGTCCGTTCTGGTCATCAAACATCCATATCGATTCCAATCTCATTTATCGCGGTTCAGAACTTCATTTAAATTGTTCTTAAACGCTCCGTATGATATTTTCCCCTCTAATCTGCTCCTTAAAAGCATACATCCCGGTTACTTAACCCACCCACACCCCTCATCCACCCCTCTCCCCCCAAAAAGGGGGAAGGTTTCTCCTTATCTAACCTTCCTATGCCCCTCAGAACTCTGTACACCTCAATCAGATTCCCCTCAGCCCTCTCTGTTCTAAAACAACTGCTTGTCTGTCCCGGTCTCTCTGAATCTCTCCATCCCAGGGAACCTCCTGGTGAATCTCCTCTGCACCCTCTCCAGTGCAATCACATCCCTCCCAGCGTGGTGACCAGGAGTATTTTGCTTTGATTTGCTCGCAGCTATTCGCTCGGTGGACACTTATCGTTTACCGGGGGTCGGTATATAATGAGAAATATCCCGGGACCATTCTGAGGCCAGTTTGATGCCCTTCCAGCGGGTTAAGCCCTCTCTTTGTAAACGCTCTAAAACAAAACACGCCAAGTTTTTAAAATCCGTGCTTTGGGGGCAGTTTTGACCAGCAGGAGCGGGCACGCCAGGTGTCCCTTCATAAGGGGCCAGATTCGGAAACAGAAGCAGCTGTGGTCACCCCAGACCCGAGATAGGGAGAGAGATAGGGGCGTGGGGAGGGGGGGGAAAGAGTGTGGGACGGGGTTGGGGGGGGAGCATAGGGTGTAGGACATGGGGGGAGAGTCTGGGACACGGAGAGTCTAGGGTAAGGGGGAGCCGGTTCTGGGACGGGGGGGGGGATGTTGGGAAGGAGTAGGAAGGCGGGGGTGGGGGTGAAAGGATAGATCGGGGAGGGTGGTCTGGTCTGAGCGCCCCCTGCCCTGCCCTACCCTGCCAGCCGCTCTGTCCCTGTACCTGCACCGTGTATCCAGCAGCGTTCACGTTACAGAACAGACTTCAATACAAAATAAACACGAAGTTCCCGTTTATTCGGTGATGAAGGTCACATTTCTTTAAGTATAGGCCGCACAGCTTGGCTGGTGGCC